TGCTTATTATACCAACACTCACTACACTTATAAGGTTTCTTGGCGCCCCTTCACCCCGTCAGTAAAACCGTATTGGGCAGACAGTAACCAAAATATTCTATCTGGATAAATGCATTCTGGCCCGGCATGGCCAGGTGGTTAGGACGCTCGACTCGCAATCTGCGGGTTCGCATCCCCATCCCACCAAACATGCTCGCCCTTTCAGCCGTGGGGGCGTTCTATGTGACGGTCAATCCCACTATTCGTTGGTAAAAGAGTAGCCCAAGAGTTGGCGGTGGGTGATGATGACTAGTCTTACACTGCTAAATTAGGGACGACTAGCGCAGATAGCCCTCGTGTAGCTTTGCGCGAAATTCAAAACAAACAAATGCATTCTGGCTTTTATGACTCTTCCAATTTCGAGAAATAAAGCGCGACGTGACGTAATATACATTGGCTTTTATATAGGTTAGATGTAACTTTTTTATTTTGAAGAACAAAGAATAATTAAGATAGTAATTTACCCCCAGATTACACAGAACTTCGTGTATGATCATTGTTACTTTGACACTAAGAGGAAAAAGACTTGATAGCCAAAACAATGAAAAAATCACCAACTTATGAAATCGCATAATCCGTTGTTTGTTCCCTAATTAAACACATTTTGGCAATAACAATTTTTTTTCAAAATTTTTGCAATTTTTGCCTTAAACAACATAATTAAGTTTCCCATGTTAAGTATTCTAAGTTCAGTTTTGACTTATTAAAAACTATTATTTTCATCATAAGTTGCACACGTAGAAATGAAACTAAAAATGCTCTACTTTTCTGTTGTTTGTTTGCTTCTGTTGTAGTTAAGCACAAAGCTGCATAATGAGCTATTTGTGCTGTGCCCACAATGGGTATTGAAACCCGGTTTCAAGCGTTATAAGCTAGAACTTAGAGCTGTGTCAATGAAGGACTTTCCTAATACCCAGTAAAATTTGTTTGTTTTTTATTGGAGCCACCTAAATAATTTTGTGCTTATATCAAATTTCGTCATTTTCAAATTAAAAATAATCGTTCTGAATGACCATTTCGATGTTGTAAGGAAAGATTTTTTGGATGAATTAATGGAATTTGTTTGTACGACGTGGAATATTACTTTACTGTTGGTTTTTTCCTATGGTATCCAAGAGTGATTCATTCTTATTAGAGTAATTGTTTTGTGTTTTAACGTCAGGAATATAGATTATATTTTCTTAATGCTTCAGGAAATGGAAGGCGATAAGCAAATAAACTTAAACATTAAAATACAGATGTTTATTTATGAATTTATTTTCCTCACCAAAACGTGAATTTCAATGGAGAAAGATAACATTGAGGCTTAATCTTTACTTTGATTCGCTGCTTCCACTGCAGTACAATATTTCGTTTATCAGTACTGCTTGGAAGAGTGAAGCAAATAAATAGAACTTCATACAGTGTTGGAATTTCAGCTATTTGTTTAGTTTTTACGTTTAGTCCTTTACTTAGCACAAACAACCTAAAATACTTTAGGTGTTGGAATAACATGTGACTATATCATCATAATTAATTATGGATTGTTATTCAGTAGACTAACTGGTTGTTTATTTATTTATCAATTTCTTTTAATCGGTCATATATTATTCAAACACCTAAGGTGTTTTAGATTATTAGTGGCAAATATGTTAAAAACAAACAAGTACAGATGTTGTTAATTTTTATTCTGAGTTAATTTTTTGTTTTTTCAGAATTTCGTGCAATCCTACACAAAGACTATTTGTGCATAGTCATCCCTAATTTTGAGCTACAGAAAAGGTAGCTAGACAACAGTACTAACTTTTGTGCTATTCTTGTCTGGTGAAACATTAGGACCTGATTTCCATTCTTATAGTGCACCATCGACCATAAAATGGTGAGCGCGTTGAGTTATCCTGCTAAGACCTTAGCCCGAAGACACCACATTCTTAAGGATGCATGCATTTCCGGACCTTCCAAAGAAGGCAAAGGTTTTCCATGATTCACACAGCCTCTCAGCTCGCACAAGTATAATCAACTGGTGCAATTACTTGATTGAGAAACGAATGACTGAAAGTAAGCGCCTTTCCTTATTTTCCAAGCTCACAAGTGGTGTTTCACAATAGGATGTATGTGCAGTACGTCACTTGATTATTTTACAATTTGAAAAGTCGATTTGTTGGAAAATCGACAGCTGAAAGGGCATTGTAATATTTACTTTCCGAGCTATTGAGCAATATTTAGTAGGAGACATTAATCTTACGTTTTGTCATAATCGCTGATTTTGTAGGATGGAACTCCTAGGGAAAACAAAAGTTGGATTCAACTGTTACTAGGAATTCTAACAAATAAGCAGAAAGGATTTTGCAGTCCTTGCTTTGCAACCACTTAAGGTAAGTGTCATAGTGAATGTTGATAGACTTTTACCTGTAAAAACTTCCTAAGCGACTTCGCAACCTAGCACGTAAGTCAGCACAATTTTGTGTTGTGTCTCTACGCAACAGGCTGGTATGTACCATTCGTCCTGAAGAGCAGTAAATGAAATATTTTCTAACACAGCATGAAAAATTAGCGTAAAAGTGTATAAGTCAGATAAAAAATATACACCATTTTGCTAGATTTTTTTATTGTGTCGTGTTTTGTGTTTAACTGATGTAGTAGGTTTCTACGACCCTAGGTGGCAGGACGACATAGTCATTTAGGCTGAGGGAGGAAGTGTGCCTATTACGTTGTACTGTGTGAATATGCAGTTGATTATACAAAATGTGATTGGATGAATGTCTATAGCAGAATAGGCCAGTTCTGCTTATTTCTCTCAGTGATTATGTTTATTTTCATGATATCGTTCAGATTAGACTATTAAAGTAATTCTAGCTCCTTTAGGTGGCATTTAGTAGTTTTAATGTGCGTGGAAAGCGTGATTGATGCCGACATAGGTTGTCGCGGAAACCAGGCTCTCTGCTGAAATGGTGACATAATGTGCTACACATATGTGCTACTTTGTTAATTAATACTGTTACGTCTCCGTTCGTTCGTTAATTAATTTTCCGTAAATTCGTTCCAACGAAACTTTAGCGACACAAGTCATTTCTTAAATAAAACTGGTTTATTCTTTCCGAATACAACTTTACCGATACACTTAATTTCAACAGTCGCTCTATAACAAACGCTATTATTTTCAAAGAACGTCTCACGTGCTCGTGCTCGACAATACTCAATACCATTATGCAAATGGCCAGGTGGTTACGGCACTCGACTCGCAATCTGAGGGTCGCGGGTTCGAATCCCCTTCACACCAAACATGCTCGCCCTTTCAGCCGTGGGGGCGTTATAATGTGACGGTCAATCCCACTATTCGTTGGTAAAAGAGTAACCCAAGAGTTGGCGGTGGGTGGTGTTGATTAGCTGCCTTACCTCTAGTCTATCACTTCGAAATTACGGACGGCTAGCACAGATAGCTTTCGAATAGTTTTAAGCGAAATTTAAAACAAATCGATATATACAAGAGCACAGCTATTCAGAATAATAAAAAAGTGTGGTTAAAAATACTGAGGTGTGATATATTTGGTAAAAAATTGCAGTGATTAGCTAAGACCCCATTGAAATATAAAATGCACCATATTCCGTGTTTTCTTATATGCTGGTAAAGAATATATAAAGTTTGGTATCACAATGGAATGTTCATAAGAATTTCATTTTTTACCAAGAGTTGAGGTTGTTATGAAATCTACAACAAGGAGTAAACATGGTGGACCCATTGTTAGCCGCACCATAACGACTCATAGAATGGTTCTGAGTTTTTTTTTTTTTTCAAGTACAAACTTTTAAGCTCATAGCTCCATCTCTTGACCAATTTGAGATAT